ACGACAATTCTCAAGTGGTGGCTCACACAACAACCCCAGAGCCACCACTTGAGCCAGGCAAACAAGGTATGTAATGTAAATGTCAGTAAACTTCCAAGTTATGCGAACATGTAAGCAAAGCATAAATTACAGCTACGTTGACGTTACTTCGAATCGCGGGGGTAAGCTAAACCGTTAGCAAGTAGCTATAGCTAGCCAGATATATTAAATAAACACTTTGTCATACAATCTAAATTTAATGTTTTTTAGCATTACCTGGTGATCTCAAAGAAAGCTCTCTGGGAAATGTTGACTTACTGTTCGACATGAAGCTAGAAGCTACCTTACACTACAGTAGTTGATCCTGAGTCCTGTCAGTTAAAGTGTTTCATAGTTAGCTTAGCTAAGCATCAACCTAGCAATAAAATGATGTTATGTGACAGTATTTCTGAGAAAAAGTCAGCTGAAATGGTGGCATAGTTGCCACTGCTTTACGTGTCAACAGCATGTTTGAACGTATTTGCTAGCAGTAAATGTGGCTGTTTGGCCACTGACGTTGCCATAACAACACCTGAATTTAAATGTGAAACCTCTTTTTGTGACAGATTTTTGCAGGAAATTATAATTCTTCTGAATGATATTCCTACTGACAGCTAGTTTCTATGTGAACATTATGAGATGGACAGCCAGAGAGAATAAATGAAAAACATTTATGAAATACTATATGACAAAACAAGAATACAGTTTAAGTTATTTGTAAAATATCCATAAAGAAAAATCTGTTTACAGTTCTGTTCCATCTGGGTGTTGAGAGATGTATCCATAGATCTCTTAATTTTTCTCTTAAAGTGCACCAGATTGATGCTTTTAACTTCAATATTTAAAAAAAAATCTTCCCCGGGGGGAGCATGCCCCCGGACCCCCCGTACCGACGGAGTTTAGGTTCCGTACAGTGTTTACTATGCTTATTTGTGCCTTGGCAGTCTCTGATGCTAACATCATAAGACAAAAGTTGGTTCCGTGTTGTGTGTAGTGAGAACGCGCTAGAGTGAGGGGGGCCCCCAAGCCAAAGCTCGCTTAAGGCCCCCAAAAGTCTAGGGCTGGCCCTGATTCAACATTTAGAGAAATTAAAAGCTACACCTGCATAGATTAACATGCCAAGCTGGGAGGCTTTTCAGGAATGGTTTAGCGAACAGTCCCGTTGCAGATTTATTTCCTTTCATTCAACGTATCAAAACATTATTGACTGATCGTTTGAGCTCTAAAGATGTGTTTTCTTTAGTCTCCTCTTCCCTGTCCATCCTTCAAGTTGTATCTTCCCTTCTTTCCCACACTCCCTTCCATCTCTCTGCTCCTTCCTTATGTCTTAATCATTTTTCTCTCCATCCGTCCTCCATCTTTCCCTCCCTCGCACAGTCTCTATGACTCTCCTCGCGTCCTGTCCGAGAGTAGGTGATTAGCAGCAAATTAATTTGGCCCTTAATGATTGGCTCAGGGACTCACTCCTCTGTGTCTGATTGGCCAAGGGACAAGGAAGCTAATTTCCCCTGTTGCTTGTGGCAAATAGTGGTCGCCCTCAATTACCGTGTGTGTGTGTGTGTGTGTGTGTGTGTGTGTGTGTGTGTGTGTGTGTGTGTGTGTGTGTGAACCACAAGTGTGTGCAAGAGTATGTACTGTGACTGCATGCATGTGCGAGAGCGTCTCCATAAATGTTTAAGTGTCTGTGTGTGGATTGAGCTGAAACCTGGTGGACTAGCAATAATGAGCTCTTGCTCTACTCAATGCAGATGGAGAGGTTGACAAACACACTCCTCACTGTCTCACACACACACACACACACACACACACACACACACACACACACACACACACACACACACACACACACACACACACACACACACACACACACCAATTGTAGTGAGTGTTGCTTGACAGAGAGGAGGATAAACAAAGGATTCTGACTGTGATAGAGTCCACTGTGCGATACCTGAGAGAAAGCGTTGAGGAGTCCCGAAGACGTCCCCTCAGACTCGGGGTAAGTGATCTCCACTCCGAACTCAAAGCCCAGCGGCAGGTACCCCGTCATGAAGAACCTGAAACACACACACAACACACTGATAAACATCAACAAACAACAACAACCCAAAGAAGTAGTCCATGGCGATTTAATCTGAGAGCCAAGGGTTTTTTCAACAACGCTCGCTCACGCACAAATGCATGAAAATATATATATTATAGTATTTGTTTTTATCTCTATATAATAAATCGGAAACGTTACAAATCACAAACTTTTTAAAAGTACAATCTATTGAATTTATGTAGGTGCTTTTAAGCCTATATTACCGTTTGTTTTTATAAAAAATAACATTATTAAATAAATAATACAAATCTTTTTTCTTTTTTTTAACATGTTTATATTTCAAATCAGGAGTTTTTTAGCAGTTGTACAACTGAAGGAATATTACACACATCCCATTCAATACGTAATATATTATTACAAAATTAATAGGCGTGGATAGAGCCTTGGTGTTGGGATCAGATGGTCACAGGTTCAAACCCCACTGCAGTCAGCATGTCGTTGTGTCCCTGAGACACTTCACCCCAAATTGCTCCTGTGGGGATTGGCCACAGTATTGAGTATGTAAGTTGCTTTGGATAAAAGTGTCTAACAAGTCACATGTAAGTACGGCAAAGTACTTGGTTTGAAAGCGCCTAAAGATACCATTACTTATCTGTACCATNAGTCGATTAAAATATTTAATCGCGATTAATCGCATGATTGTCCATAGTTAATCGCAAATTAATCGCACATTTTTTATATCTGTTCTAAATGTACCTTAGTCTAAGGTACATTTAGAACAGATATAAAAAATGTGCGATTAATTTGCGATTAACTATGGACAATCATGCGATTAATCGCGATTAAATATTTTAATCGACTGACAGCCTTAATATATATATATATACATTTATTGTTTTCCTGCCCTAACTTTTATTTAATTTTTACTCCTGTTTTCTTTATTTCTTTGTTCTCATTTCTATACGTTTTTGACGCAATAATGCCGATGTTGTATTAGGATGATGCACGGGAGGGCTACTTTCCATAAGCTATGCTTCAGCCCTCCCGCTTCTACTAATTGTGTTCATCTTTGTGTATATGAATTATACTTTTTTTGTTTTTTGGATGAAAAAAAAAGAAGAAAAAAAGTACTTTCAGCTTGGGGGCCCTATGCATCTGCATAGTCCGCCTATAGGAAGAAACGGCCCTGTCTCAGATTATACGACAATGTCCATCTACTGAGGGATGTTGCTATCCTGGTGATGCCCACTAAGCCTCCACTCTTTTTTCCTGTAGCGTTTAGCCACTCAGTACTTTCATTCGCTGAAACCTGATTGAAGCGTCGATCACTGCGTTTCACCACGAAGTTGCCTTTCTGAAACTCGAGGAGGATTTCTGGTGGAAGAGCAGACATCTCAGCCAGGTACAAAGTACCCCATCTGGCATAGTTTATATGATCGTACCTGAAGAAGAAGGGCAGCATACGTTTGAAAGCATACAGGTGGAGATCCCACAATCCATCACGTTGCGCTCTTGTGAAGCAGAGTACGATGCTGACCATAGTCATGTAGTCCCACCAGAATGTGGCATTCGGGTCATCAACTGCAAGCGATGCAGTAAACTCTTTCATGGGCTGCTGGAATCTGTCTGTACTGTAGTCAGTTTGTCAACCGTATGCGCTATGTGGTCAGCATCTACGGATTGGCAAAGATCTGAGAGTTCAGCTCTCAGTGTAACATCAACCTCATCCAGATATGTGTAAAGCCGTGGGAGCAGTAGCTGCCAAAGAGCCTGTAGGGTAAGTTTGTGGGTCCTTATGGCACGTGCATACCCCTTTCCTGCCATGACATGCTGAGCAGCATTTGCTCCCAGCAGATCACACTTGACCCATAGCTCATTCAGGCCTGATCAACCATGTGTTGTCCTATCACACCCAGGAAGTTTGTGGCAATGTGAAGGCCTCCAAGGCAAGGGATAAGCACGTCCTTGCATTCTTCTACTGACCATTTCAGTTCTAGCAACTTCCGATAAAGTGCCTCGTCCACTGTCAGAATGACATGCTGTTGTTCCATTGATTTGGAGATATGAAGCATTCGCTTGACAACTGTGTTCAGTGTATCGAGTTCAGATGCAGGGGCCTGGATGATAGGTAGGTAGCCTACTGTATTTTTCTCTGGGTTGACTGTGCTTGCCTTTTGATTGTACAATATCCAGGAAGGCATTGGTTTTTTAGATGTCCTGGACATGAAGAGGGCCATGTCTGTAGCTTGTGCTTTCTGTGCTGCAGGACATTGTTCAGATGACTGTGTGAAACAGTCTTCTGCTACTACACTAGCTGAATGGGCGCTCTGTGATTCCTCTTTTTGGTTTGTTTTTTTGGTTTTGTGGGTGGGGGGGCAATAGCTGGGAAGGATAAGGTTTTCGCATCGGAGCACCGGCATAAACGTACAAGATGCGAGTGCACCGGTTGAAAGAGTGCACATCGGCTACAGTTTGGGTTAGACTCGCGATGCATCGATTGTAGCGTCTTTCCATCGGTAAAAAAACCATTCATTCATATAATATCCCCTCATCCTGTCAGCACTCAGCAGAGACGATCTCTGATCTTTGCTTCGCACTATGGAGGCCGAGAGTCTCAGTTATCAACACACATGAAGTCGAGGAGAAAGAGAAACACAGCGCACCGAAAAATAACTACAAATCAAACGTTTGGCAACACTTTGGATTTTTCAAGAAAGACGGTCAACTTGAAAAATCGCTCGCAAATTGTAAACGATGCCGTGCCACTTTAGTGTACACAAGTAGTACGAGGAACGTAGCGACGCACATAAAGAGGCGACATGGGGTCTGCGGCTGAAAAGAGAAACCTGAAAGTTAGACATATGAGTTAAATCACTCAGTGAGGTGTTCTGTCAGAGAGAGTGGTGTTTAGTTTACAGCAGCCTGTGAATGCCAATAATAGTTTAAATGTCTTCCTTACTGTAAGCAGTTATGAAATACCTGTTTGTGAAAGGTTATTTGTATTTGTTATTGTTCATATAGAAACCACTGCTTTCTGCTCACTGCTGAGTTAGCCTATGAATGAGTGTTAAGCACATCAGACAGCAGTTGTATGGGCATTGCACTATGGTAGTTGTTATTTGCACATTGTTAATCATGGGCAATGCGTCCTTAAATTGTTTAACTGTGAGGTGTTATACAATTGTACTTTACTCTGGAGAGTTTTTTAAGGTAAAAAAGGTAAAAAAGAAACAGCATGATGATGGGATGCGCAGTACTAGTAGAGAGAACCAAATATGTAAAGCACTTTTTTGTTAATTTATGATTTGCTGCATATAAGGAATAAAACAAAAATCCTCTTTCGTACCATAGAAGTATCATTATTTTGCATTGTGCTGAATCGTATTGCCCCGTATTGCATAAGGTTGAATCAAATCGTATCGAACTGTATCGCAACAGGGGTGAATTGTATTGTATCGCCTGGTGTTTCAAATGTATCGTTAATGTATCGTATCGTTGGCAATGTATGAGATGCGCATCGCATCGGCCTCAGTGATGGAGATGCACATCCCTATACTACACAGCTGAATGGGCGCTCTGTGATTCCTCTTTTGTGCGGGGGTTGGAGGGTTTTGTGGGCGGGGGGCAATAGTGGGGAAGGCAGAGGTTCCATCACAGCACATTTTAAACATTTAACCTCAAAACAATATACAAAGTAAGTAAAAGTAGCCTAATAATAATAGCATAGTAATTATTCATAGTTAAAAACTATTATTTTTGCAATATATATGAGAGCTAAGCAGTTTATTCACATTACATCTCAAATCTGAATATGGCATCAGATTTCCCATGTAGGAGAACTTACAAAAGCACATTTAATTCAAGTTTGTACCTTGTTTATTCAAAAAGATATACTTAAAATTGATTTCAGGCTGGTGGTGGCGGCCATGTTGGATTTCTCAATTTTGAGGCATTTTGGGAAATGTTTGAGCTTCATATACAGCAGATTTGGATTCAGCACCCCTTAATACCCCTAGAAATGTTGTATAGCATAAATAAACACAAAAAGCCTTCGGGGTTCTGATTTTGGTAAAATTGACCCTGTCTACCTGGAAAGAAGTGAATACACAAAGGTTTAGCGTTCCAATTTTCTACTAAATATCCTGTTATTGTTCACCAGAGAACAGACTGGTCCACACTCAATTATTCCACTCTGCATCAGTATAGCATACCCGTGACTGGCGCCTCAATGTCCAACATGGTGCGCTCCTGGCGCAGGATGGCGGCGCCCTCATCGATGATGCGCAGGGCCACAGCTTCCTCCAGTCGGCCCTCCTTGGTGAGGTGAGCTTTGAGCAGGTCCACCCGCGGCCGGCCCTCGGCGTCAAACACCTCCTTCATGGTGAGCCGGTGGGCCAGGGGCAAGGGGACCGCTGGAGGTTGAGGTGGGGAGTGTTGAAAATGATAAGGAAGGAGATGGACGTGAGGAGAAGATGTGGAAGGAGATTAGAATGAATGATGCAGGAAGGAAGGTGGATTGAATTTGGCACATATTTAAGATAAAGAAGGTGGAGGAGAGTTTGAATGGGTGTATGGATAAATGGTGAGTTTGATTATGGAGGGAATGACAGGAGTTAATGCAGAAGAAAAGAGAAGAGAATATATTATAATGCAGAATGTGATTCATTGAGATTTTCTGTCGTCTTCATCGTGATGCCCAAAAATGTCAGAGGCCCTCAACCCTCACCATTACCATGATCACACCTCTGCTGCAGGCTTTGACTCTGCGTGTGTCTACGTGTGTCTGCATGTGTGTGCATGTGTGTGTGTGTGTGTGTGTGTGTGTGTGTGTGTGTGTGTGTGTGTGTGTGTGTGTGTGTGTGTGTGTGTGTGTGTGTGTGTGTCTGCATTTATGTATGTGTGTTATGGAGGCCTAAGTGGATTGTATTGAAGCAGGGGTTGCCAGAGTTATCAGGGCTGCCTGCCTCTGTTCTGCAGTAATGTCTCTCTGCCTCTCTGCCTCTGTTCTGCAGTAATGTCTTTCTTACATAATGAAGGCCCCCAGGGCGCTGCTGGAGCGGGGGGTTGACTGACGACAGGGGTGATACAGCAGGAGCGCACAGCTGCACGTGAGGAGTCACACTTGTGAAAGCGCACACGAGCGGTCTTAACAAACTCAGTAGCAAGAAAACAAAAGGCAGAGGCGCAGGGGCGCATGCGTGCATCATGTATGGCACAATGGCGTTAACACACATGATCGCATACGCGCGAGTGAGACTACAGTGGTACACACACACATACAGGCTCATAAAAAGGTATTGTTATGCAGGATCCACAGAGTCTGTTGGAGCCCCACCAGTGCTAACACAGATAATGGCCTAGATCACAAACTAAAAACTAGGCCTGGCTCTGGCTCTCTGGCTCTCTCTCTCTCTCTCTCTCTCTCTCTCTCTCTCTCTCTCTCTCTCTCTCTCTCTCTCTCTCTCTCTCTCTCTCTCTCTCTTCCTCTCTCCTCTCTCTCTCTCTCTCTCGCCCTTTCTCAGTCCCCCCCCCCCCCCATTTTTCCCTCTTCTTATTCTCTTGTTGCTTCCCTCTCTTTCGGCCCCAGTCTCTTCAGCAGCATATGGCCTGTATTTCTAAATGAATCTGACAAATCGGTTACAATCAACATAAATCAGTGCTTTATGTGTAATTCGGAGGATTTTAATCAAATATGCACGTGTCTGTTGATAAAAAATACTTCTGTGAACGATACAGTCATTGGGTCATTGGGTTACACTAAAAATATCCATAAGCAATTTAACAATGCGGACACACCAGAACATGCCAGGACACCTTAACCAAAACGTATCCCAGACCTTGTTCTGTTGTTAATTAACTCATCAAGTACCTCAGTTCACACTCGCACTAAAAAGTGTCACCTCATGTGTCCTGTCACTTGTGATCGGATCTCATTTCACCTTTCTTTATGAATATAGGCGCGTATGTCATTTCTGGTGTGTGCCTGTGTTTCAATTCCAGTCTTAAGTCTCACCATACAGTCTATAACCATACAGCATTAATGAAACATCCGCTTACGTTTTGAAAAAGCACTGCTATGTCCAAGTGCCGATTACGGGTGTTTTTTTGCTCTGCCAGACTGCGATATGCGTGAAATAATTTGTGCTTTTCAAGCACATTTTATGAACATTAAAATATAAGGTTTTTGTCTATAGACAGTTTTGCCGGAACTCCACCTACAATGCCACTGTCACCTTTGCTCAGAAACTGCGTCACAAGCAGTATGACTCTTACATCCAAAATATAAGATATACATTTGTGTTGCTTAATCTGCTCATTCAAAGGACGCCAGTTAAGTAGGAGGTTCTTCAATGTGGCCCAGGTCACATTTAAATACACACTGCTAAAAGAATGTGGCCCTATGCGACCTATACCACTCAGACTGTGATCTGCGTGGTTGGATCTCAATGTGTCCTCCTCAATGCTTCTTGGATGCAATCACATCTGTACTTGGAGTTGTCCACATGTGATTGGATCACAAAACATGCATGCTAATGTCGGTCTGAACAGGGACTCAGGATGCCCTCAAGTAGCTAATATCACATTAGGGCTACACAGGTCAGCCTTTCCCCAAAAAGACACTTTTATGCACACATTTAAGACTGACCACAACACGTAAGTCATGCCAAGCTGAAGGGTCTGTTTGCCATTGATAAACAACGTCTACATGGTATAACCACTTTTGCCATTCAGATTACAACTGATATGTACTTGCACTACAAAAGACAGAAAAATAATTACGAATGACTTCATATTTATTTATAAAAAAAGGAAACAATAGGTCTCAGTATGTCAGTATGTGGTTAATCCGCCTCCATCATTTAACTGTTCTGTCTGGTACTACTGTACGACCCCGTACAGTGCTGTACTGTGCTACAAAAAGTACAACTGACAAAAAGCTGCATGCACCGTAGAAAAAAAGCTACTGTTTTCTTGTGAAGAAATATATATATTCACATACATTAACTCAATGTCTGTGTATTTATAATTCTGGTTTGAGGTCAAACTGAGGCTCCTGGTGTGTGTGAAAGAGAGAGAGAGAGAGAGAGAGAGAGAGAGAGAGAGAGAGAGAGAGAGAGAGAGAGAGAGAGAGAGACAAGGAGTGTGAACATCGTATCGTACAATTGTGTGAGCGGTGTGAAAGTAGGGCAGGTATGAGACAGTGGAGAGCAGCAGAGCTTGGGGAAGGAACGATACTTGGGAAAACTATACTTGGCAGTTAGGGGATGGAGAGAGAGGAAGAGTCAAACCAAGAAGGTCTTTTGCACCTGACGACTGACTATTTGATAAGCGCCCAATTTAAGGGAAACACTTCTGGCTTTCAGAGAAACTCGAGAGGTTCAAGCGAGCATGAAAAGGTGGAGGACTCAAAGCTGTCTGGGGTTTAGAGATTTAAATTATGAAGCATCTGAATTTAATATTGCAATGTGAATCTGTGGAACATGTTGGTACAGCTTTCTTCTTCTTCCTCAAATCAAATTTTTGGCACAAAATAGGGGATCTCGCTAAAAAACAATGGAAGGCGTTCTGCATTATGCAACAGAATTTGTAGGCCTTGAGCACAACATTAATGGAAAGGAAACACATTTATATTTAATACAGCGCCCACATTTATAATCTACAGTATATGCATTCAGTAGTACAATTTATCATTGCACGTTACCGGTTTGTGGGACAGCTGATAGGCCTGGATTATGTATTTGTATCTTTTTCCTTTAACATTCTAGACCAAATAATATTTAGGCTTTAACTATAGATAATAACATTAAGATGCTAACATGCGAATGTTTAGCAGGAATTTTTCTTATGGTCACCATCTAGCATGATAACTAGAACAGATAGTAGAATTGATTTTGATCAAATAGTAGCACTAAAAGAAATATCATAGAATAAACAAAGTGGTTCAGACTCATCCAGTGGGCACCATGAATGTAGATACCAAATGTCTTAGCAATCCATCCAGAAGTTCAAATATTATAATCTGTAAAAAGTAGCTAGACATGCTGCTATGTGGCTAATTAATCCTAGATTATTATCCGTACTGACCTCTTAAAAAAAGGGTGAAATCATTGGAAATGTTGGGTTTCTCTCTTAAACCCTTGTGATTAATCAATACGATTTCACTAATGAGTACATTTTAGTTGTATATGGGAATATGAGAAAGAACACTTCGCTTTCTTTAGGCAAACAAAGTTTGAGCTCCTAAAATCAGTAATCAAATGAATAAACAAAGGATTACTGTGTGACATTTCGGGATGACAAAAAGAACAGACCCCAGACACATTGTATTCTTGAGTTTTGAGCTGAACAAATTATGCCCACAAACTGCTCAAAATGCTGAGTAGTTCTAAGTGTTCTGGTGTAACCAACTTAGTTGTTTTTGAGACGGGAGATCTATCACAAGTCTGGGTAGTTTCTTGTTCCATGAGCGATGACGCAGGCTTTGCAGCGAGAAAAACAAGCAGCAGGGGTTTTCTGCTTTCTTTGCAACTGTTGTTGAGAAAACAAACTCATCCACAAACCATAGAAAGCTTTTAGATTGGTTGGTTTAGATTGGTAAAGCTTGCAATGCTCTCAAATGCACATACCTAAACTGTGGGAATTATCCTGAAATAAGTCTTTCTATGGTAAACTTGAACCCAACACTGTCTTTAGTGTAAATAATACAGACTTACCTCCATTTCAACACAGAGTATGACTCAGTTGTGTTTCAACCACTATGATATCTCTCAGCGAGTTAAAGCAGGAGGAATTTTCCTCAGTAGCACTCAACCTTCATGCTTCTCTAGTGGAACTCATCTTCTTTTAGCTCAGTCGGATATTATTGTCTAGTTTTTCTAAAGAGAACATTTACTGTTACACATAAGGCCAACCCTGTTTACACTTGGTACTTGGTGATAGGATCACAAGTGCACGGAGGTAATTAGCCGACAAGTGTAAGCTACCATCAAGACGCATTGTGATCAAATCACTCCCACGTCTTGACAAGGTTGTCTCAGACGTATTTAGCCACATGTGTTTTGTAGTGTCAACACTATTGAGTTAAGAAACGTCCCTGAAAAGCACGTTACAGGAATATATATACAGAATTCTGCAAGCTGAAGGTGGAAGACATTTCTAGTTTGAAACATATCACACAGTGTCACCCTGTTTGACTGTAAGACAGCTACTAAAAATAATATTCAAGTCTTTGTTTAGGTATGAAGTGCAAATCTTTTACAATGGGTTTATACCCATTGTAAAACTTTATCTGTCCATTTTGAGCAGTATGGGTCCAAAGGGTTTGGCTTTTGAATACCTTGCCAAATGACCGTAGTTGAAAGTTAGCTATCTACCGGACACAGTATTAGCAGTGTTAGCTCAAAGATG